TCTGTCAAATAAATAAATAAAATCTTAAAAAAAAAAGGACCTCATTAAAAGAAAAAAAAGTAGCCACATCAAAGGTTTTTTGAAAGTTTAAATAGTGTTCATGTATTTACCCTTTAAGGAATTCTCATAAATTTCTCAGGCATGAGTCTTCCACAGCAAAGCAATGAGTGGTGTTTCCTTAAGCTTTGAGTGGCTGGTGAATCTAATTTTCGTTATCCATCAGTTTACAGATATGCACAGGATGATTTCGGGGAGGCAATTGTGGGCTAGTGAAATGACCACAAGTGGTGGTGCATACAGGCTTCAAACACCAGCCAGATACTGAAACTTGTGGGGCACTGGCCCAGTTACTGAGCATCTCTGGCTGCTTCATCTGCAAGATGTATCACAGTGGATAAGATCATGACAGTTGTGTGCATAAAATTACATCGTGTAGACGCCTAGCACAACGCTTGGCTCAATCTGAAACTGCTGTGAGCCCAGGGACAGAGGACTGTGCTGGAGACCCCAGACTAGACCTTTTTCTGCTCCATGTAACTCTGGGGACCTTCCCATATCAGGACCCTTGTGGATTACAGAGGTGCAGACAAGGCTCAGAGTTGGCTACATTGATTTATTGGAAACACAGATCAAGACAGAGATGAACACGGCAGAGATGGAAGGGGAATATTGGGGGGATGGGGTACGGCCATCACCCAGGGCAGCGCAGGTTGGGCCCTTATCCTGGCCCTCCGGCCCCTGAGCCCCCTTCCTATGGGCATCAAGGGGACTTCTTTTTAGGGGTAGCCTTTCCCAGCGCGGGCAGCAGAATTGAGGAGGAAGGGATCACACACAGATGTGAGAGGCTGGGAGTGGGACAGACCTTTCAAAGTGCCAGAGAAGTAGTCGAGAGCTTGCTCCACCTGGAGGCTGGGTGGGAGAGACACGAGGCCCGCGGCTTGAGCTCGGGTGTCTAGCATCTGCGGCAGCTGCTGGTGCAGGAGCCCACGCCGCAGGAGCTGATGCCGCAGGAGCCCACACCGCCGGTGCCCAGGCCGCAAGACGTGACGGAGTTGCAGGGGGCGCAGGGGGCGCAGGGCGTGCTCGGGGCGCAGGGGGCGCACATGCCCGTGCTCACGGCCAGGTTCCCGCTGCAGGGGGCGCCGCACACGCTGCCGGTCACCGGCCGGGAGCCGGACACGCAGAGGTCCCCACAGACGACCCCGCCCCGGGAGCTGCTGACACCTGCGAACCCCAAAGGCTCAGTCAAAATTCTGGGGGGGTGGATCATCAGCTTCCCCGAGGACGCCCCTCCCCAGGCCTGAGCTCTGTGTATTCAAAGTCCGGAGAATCTTTACTTAAAACACTAGGTCCATCTAGTTCCAAAGCTGCTGTCTTTCCTGCTCTCTGACCCCAAATCCCTCCGGCTCTGATGCCAGCCCCATTTAGCTTTCAGGGGAAGCCCCCCCTCCAAACTCTGCCATTCCTTCTAGAAGGGAATAAATGCACACGGGGGCTGTGTTACTCACAGACATTCACTGCGCCAACGCCTTCACATAGTCTGAGGGGGAAAAAGAAAAAGGCAACATGAGTGATTCGGCCAGAGTTGCAGATAGAGCTCCCCAAATTCCTGGGGGTGGGGTCCACAAGTGGTCAGGGTAAAAGCAAAGGGTCTGAGAGAAGAGCCCTCCCAAGCTACCCCCTCCCCCAAAGTGATGAATGAGAGGCTGTCTTAGATCCCTGGGCCTCCTTCCTGACCCAGGAGAAAGGGTGCTGTTTATTCAAGGGGCAGGAATGAGCAGCTCAGAGCCAGGCTGGGTTGGGCCCCACCTCTGTTCTTCGCCCTCCAGCAGCCGCCTGTAGGTGGCGATCTCGATGTCCAGGCCCAGCTTGGAGTTCATCACCTCCTGGTACTCCTTGACCAGGCAAGCCATGTCCTGCTTGGCCTTCTGCAGGGCGGCCTCCAGCTCCGCCAGCTTGCAGCGGGCATCGCTCAGAGCCGCCTCACCCTGCTGCTCCGACTGGGTCACTGCGGCCTCCAGCTTAGAGTTCTGGGGGCCCAGAGGAGAACAAGGTGTGTTATGGTCCTGGGTCTCTCCGTCCATTTCCTGGATGTGTCCAGTCTCTTCCCTCCCCAGCTGGGAACACCCCAAGAACAGCCCTCTCCCATCATGAGCCATGTGCCCTCGAGGGTCCACAACCAAGGACTTTAGTCATGCAAATGGGCTGGAGCATGAATGGTGAGATCCACTGAGGACACACACTGCCTGTGTGATCCTGGGGAGGCCCCAGGCAACACTTACCTGGCACTTGGCATTCTCAACCTCAGCGGTCAGCCTCTGGATCATGCGGTTGAGCTCGTTGATCTCCTCCTTGGTGCGGCGCAGGGTCTCCCCATGCCGGATCACCGTGGCCTTCATCTCCTCACACTGGGAGGAAGCAGACATGCCCCTGAGGCTCAAGAGGCAGTGTCCCACCCATTCAGACACCACAGATGATTGGTAGGTTGTACAGTGCTCAGCCTGTGCAACCATACGTGGCAGCCCTGCCCAGCCACTATAACCTGAGAGCTGTCTGCCCTTCTGTTACCATCTTAGGGGTCAAAATTTCCAAGCAAAAGACGCCCTGTTATTAAATGCCTGCCTTCCCTGTCACTGCTATGTCTAGGAGGCAGGTGTCCTCTGCCCCTCACCTTGCTGCGGTACCAGGACTCGGCCTCAGCCCGGCTGCGGCTGGCGATATCGTCGTACTGAGCCTTGATCTCGGCCACAATGCTGTCCATGTTCAGGTCCCGGCTGTTGTTCATCTTGACGATGACCGAGGTGTCTGAGATGTGGGCATTGAGAACACGGATCTCCTGCAGACGGTGGGGGGTGGGAGGATGGGAGGATCTTGTTTACACCCCAGCCTCATCCACCACAGTGTGGACCCAATCTTCTCAGCCCTTCCCTGGTCTCCAGCCCCTGCTCACATGACAGCCTCATGGACTGCAGCCCCAACCCAAATCCTTGGCCAACTCCTGTCCTAGGCCAAAGCCCCCTCTTCCAGGCTGGTTGCCAGTTTTCTGCCTGGACCACAGCCCCTCACCTCCTCATACAGGCGCCTCAGGAAGTCGATCTCCTCAGTCAGGGCCTCCGCGTTGGCCTCCAGGTCTGACTTGCGGAGGTAGGCACAGTCCACATCCTGAAGGGGAGAAGGGGGCACGGTGTCTCATTGGGAAGGCCACACAGAGCTCTCCCCACCTGGGAGGGCCCCCACCGGGCTGGGCAAACTCCGTGGAGACCCTCCTTAGCTGCTCATCCTAATGCCTGGTATCGTGGCATTCGTGGAATCCTTTATACAGTCAGAGGGGTCAGGAGCAGGTTTGGGTAAGGGAGGGGGACCGTGAGGTTTCCAGGCACTTCCTCTGGTACCTACGCGGATGATTGCTCCAGAATCCACACCTTGCACTATCACTGAAACTCAAGCTCTGGTGCAAAATGGGTCCATTCTAATGATGCCCCAGCCCTCCTTCCCACCTCAGGGAAAGCAATCTAGATCTGTGGTCAGAAGTAGACGTCTCAGGGATCAATTCTGCCCCTTCTAAGCCAGGGCAACTCAGGACAAGACCCTTGACCTCTGTGCCTCAGTTTCCTTCCGGTAACCCCTGCCTTCCTCCTATGGAGATGGTGGGAAGGACGTGGGGGGGTCCATGTGATGGCATTTGTGGCGGATCAAGGCTAAGGGGTGAGGAACAACAGCACTGTTCAGCCAGCCTTCCACAGCTGCTGCCGGCCTGAGGATGCGGCCACCCCCTAGCATTCACGGGCGCTCTCACTCACAGTAGTTCGGAATGCCCACTCTCTGGCAGGCACAGGGCAGAAGGAGATGGGAGGCCATCGGCCAGATGGGAGTTACCTCGGACAGAAGACGAGAGTGCCCTGCTTGAAGCAGGCGGTGTACCCCAATGTGGGGTGGAAAAGGATTCCACCAATACCCCGGGAGGACTGGGGCATGGCGGGGTGGGGGGGGCTGCTCTATGTGATTCTGGGGAAGTTGCTCAGCCTCTCTGAATTACAGATCACTCCCTCCTGCCTCTGCCCTGCTTTCTGAGTTGGGGGACAAGTATTCCGGGGTCACTCACCTTCTTCAGGGCCACAAATTCATTCTCAGCGGTGGCCCTTAGTGCCACCTCCTCTTCGTATCTGGAGATAAAGGGCACAAGGTTCAGTGGCTAGAACTTTAATAGGCTGGGATTTGAAGAGAAAAAAGAGAATGAAGGCCCAGACAAACACATTCCAGGAACTGGATCTTTGGGAGGTAGGCATAGAATCAAAAAGCGTGTTGTCCATCCCTTTCTTCTGGGCACTCATCCAACCTGTCACCCAGTGCTCTTCCAGTTTCAGGGGTTCTCATTCCTGATGTGGGTGGTGACTGGGGTTGGGGGGTGCCGTGCACATTTTTGTAGGCCTTCTGTTTTTGGATTGTAACTCCCTGGGGGGCAGGAAGCCCATACGAGTTCTGGTGTCCCCCTCCGCCCTCCCCATCCCACCTCAGGGCCTAGCATAGCACCTGGAACAGAGTAGATGTCAATAAACGTTTGACGAATTAATGAAACCAACACATAAGGACGAGGTAGCTGGAGCAGCTCCCCTCTCTCCAATGTGTGAACTCCCAGAGCATTTGTCCTCACAGGCTTCCTGTCACTGTCTTCTTCCTATTGGAAAGTTCCTCTTGCGGTCTAACTCGAATCTATCCTGCTTTGGCTTAATCCCCTTTCCTTTCTGAGACTATCCTCCCGGCTGCACTCACTTCTTCTTGTAGCCCTCCAGCACCTCCTGCACGTGGTTGAGCTCCGAGGCCAGCCTCCCGCTGTCGGCCTCCACGCACTCGGCCTCCCTCCTCAGGGTCTCGATGTAGCCCTCGAACAGGGGCTCCAGGTTGCTCTCGCAGCACTTGCGGTTCTGGTAGAA